AGCTGAGAACTATAAATCTGCAGGCTTTCAAAAGGACAAAGCCTTGTGCAGAAGAGCCAGTGGGGTGCTCCAGGAGGCTCAGGGCATTCTCTCCTAGAGGGAAGGAGCTGGGGGCAGGGAGAGATAGCTGAGACTGCCTGAGTGGAGTGGAGGAGTCTAGTTTCTATCAGGTCCTGGGATTTGGATTTTTCCACTATTGTTCAAATCTGACTTCTCTGTCTTCTTTCTTGTCAATACAGCACCTACATGGGTCAAGGTCAATGCAAGCTGTAAGGAAGGAGGCAGCATTGCTGTACCAAACTAAAGGAAGACAGGACAGGAGGCAAGGCCTCTCTGTGAAAGCTAACAAGGTCTCAGGGAGAAATCACAGAAATTCCAGACCCTCTCACAGGAACCAGGCAGGTCACAACCAGAACATTCTCCTATGGGTCTCATGGGCTGAGGTTCGAGCCTGGGTCAGGTCCCTGCTGTGCCTGATGGGGCCAGAGGGTTGTCCTGTCCCTGGGCCTTCTGCAGCCTGCCAGTCCTCACTCTGGGTGATTTGATTTGTGCTGTGAAGAGTACAAATGCCCCCTGGGATCAGAGTGGTTGATTCTGGACTCCTTCCACTGGGTCATTTTACTGACTGGCTATTCATCTGGGTCCAGTGAGAGAAGGGAGGGGGGAGGAAGGAGGCTAGGCTGTCATTAACTCCTTCATTGCTAGCAAGTCCTCTGCCTGCTTATTGGAAGCCTTCACTTCCAGTCCTTTGGTGTACATTCCACCCACCCCTCCTCAACTTGGGTGGTTCTTGTGCTGCTAGGTGTTTGGTCTCTCAAATGGGCACCTGTGGAGGAGGTGGGTCCCAACTGCTTTGTCATCCCAGCCTACTAATGTAGTCTCAAGCATCCAAGCAATGGCCTCAGCGTCTCCATTGCCATGCATTCATCTGACACTGAATAGGCAGGTTATAAAAAAGACAAATGTTTCACAGAGAAAAACCTCTGCATGCCAGGAGAAGAAGCAGACAGAGACAAATGGAGGGAACTCCTTTCCAAGCTCTCTAGCACTTCCTCTCCCTTCCAGGGGCCAGCCAGTTGATTTTAAACCAGTGCCTCCTCTTCCCAAGATGCAGGTAGGTGACAGCAAGACCACAGCAGGAGCTTCCAGACAAGCAAGATGTAAGACAAAATACCAAAGATGACATAAGCTATCATAGTTGGGGGGAGGGCACCTAATAGTCCCCAAGGATGCTGGGGGAGGGGAGATAGGAAATGTCCCTGGGCCTCTGACTTGGCCTTGAAGGCCTCTGTAGTCCTTTTCCATGTAAGGCCTCCAGTAGCCAAGTCACCTGCTTTTGTAGACGGCAGTTCACACAGAAATAACTTGTTCCTGAGGGAGGTGGTGATCAATGGCTCAAATTAAATCCCAGAAAAGCTTTTCTTCTTGTGTGACACTTTATAGTTTCTCAGCTTATCTCACCCTGGGATGGCTGTCTAGGCCAGATGATAACTACCTGAACAACCAAGAAAAGGTGAGTTCACTGAGGATTTAAGGGGCGAATTAGTTCTTAGAGGGGGGGGGGAGGAATTGTACCTCATAACCCCCACCTCCCAGCAAAACCCTGTGTGGGCGACTCTTGAGTGTCTTTCTGCCAGTCCCCAATCCTGCTTAATGCTTAAGCACCCCAGTTCAGATGGCCTCAGTCTCTGAATCACTCCATCTCTCCTGTCTGCATTCTGCTTAACTGAATTATCTTTGCATGAATAACAGCGGTCTGCACTGGGTAGGAGGGGCTGTCTGGCCCAGGGACTGTCTTCCTGGCTTCTCCCCAGATTTGATAACAACAGTTTCTTAAATGACACCCCACACAAACCCTGGTCATGCCTCTCCCTCCACAACACAGCCTCGGAGTCCTCCAGAAAAGGTCCAGCGGGCTTTAATGATCCACCTACAGCCCAGCTGGGCTGAGAGCCAGGATCAGAGAGGCCAGCACTGTTCTTGGCAGGAAATGAGGGGCCGTTATAGAAATGCCACCCAGGCTGGGAACAAGATCTATGGAGCATCAGCCATGAGTGGGTGAGGTGCTAGGGATCAAAGGGTACACCAGGGCGCCCTGGTCCGTGGCCCTTGCCCACAGAATCTGCAGAGATCAGCATTCCAACATGCTGGGCTGGGTAGGTTCTGGCCAGGGAAACTTGTTCTTTGCCCATGAATCTCAAACTTCGCTCATCTCTGGATCGCCTTGGAAGGGGCCAGTGTTTAAAGGCTGTCTCCCAGAATCTAATACAAGTTAGAGGTAGGATCTAAGAATCAGTCTTTAGAACAAACCTTTGGAGGGAGGAAAGGACTTTGGGGTATACGTCTAGTGATTCAGACAAGAAAGCTAATAGAGTCATTGTAACCCTTTCACATACAAGAGTGGGGTCAGTATTTATTTCCCTGATCTTGAAGCTAAGACAACTCCCTGGAGCTACCTCTTCTCCATAAACTCATTGGTGTCCTTAGTGAAATTTTCTAGCATGCAGACTATTGGATCCCAGCACAGCTACACATAGTAATGGTGTTATTACTATGGGTTCATTTAGCACACATTCTGTGTTGGGTTCTATTGTCTCATTTAATCTGAACAATAATTATTGAGGTAGATTGTATTATTAATCCAGCCAGCACAGGATGAAACTGAGCCCTAAAGAGATAAAAATGACCCCTGATAAGATCATAAGAATAAAGGATTAACCTGGGATTCAGGCTCTGCACAGCAGCTGTTGGGATTGGTTTTCCATGTAGAGGAGGAAAAAAACCATTCTTCTCTCTATTTTGTATAGGACCTGAGGCCTGTGAACTAAACATTCCAAAGACAGATCAACAGGAGGAAATAGCCCAGCTTATTCATACCTGTGATTTACATGCACATGGGGAATTCCCATAAGTTATAGTACCCAAAGGACTGATTAGGTTTGCGGGTTAATAGAACATCTTAGCTAGAGCAGATAAAATACGACAAGGAAACAGGAAGGGCTGGGCTGGCTTGCAGGGAAAGGAATTGAAGCCAGGTCACTTTTGAGCCTAATGGTAGGGTTTTGAACTGTTAGCTGTGTAAAGATATGCTTCAAGTTTCTCTTTGGATTCAGTATCATGAGCTTCCACTGCATCTATCAGCAAGTTTACTAACAGGGATGTGGTACTATGAATGAGAAAAGACACTCATAGTCTTGGGAGTTTAAATACTTGGTTCCTAGTGGGTGCTGCTGTTTTGGGAGTTCTAGATGACATTGTCTAATGGGAGGAATTTTATCACTGGGGCTGAGCTTTGAGAGTAAAAAGTCTCACCTATTTCCAATTTTCTCTGTCTGATTCATGCTTGTGGCTCTAGATACAAGCTCTCAACTTCCAGTTCCTGCTGCTGGAATTGCTTCCATGTCATCCTCGCCATTATGGACTCTAATCCTCTGGGGTCATCAACTCAAACTCTTTCTTCTATAAGTAGCCTTGCTCATGGTGCTTTATCACAGCAACAGAAAAGTAACTGATCCAAAGTTGGTACCAGGAGGAGGGTGTTTGATTAAAAAGAACCTGACCATATTGTTCTTGCAGAAATGTGGAATAGAAAAGTGGCTGAATGTAAGCAGAGCTTAACAGACCACCCTGGAAGACAATAGAGCTGAAATTTTCACAGTATATGGAGGCTCAGCTTAAGTGGTATCAGAGGAAAACAGGATTTTAACAGCTACTGGGATAGAGGCCATTCCTGTGATACTTTGGCAGAGAATCTGGCTATGATAGTGATGAACTTTTTTTTTTTTTTTTTTTTTTTGGTTTTTCGTGCAAGGGTTTTTTTGTGTAGTTTTGGGGTCTATCCTGGCACTCGCTCTGTAGACCAGGCTGGCCTCGAACTCACAGAGATCTGCCTGCCTCTGCCTCCCGTGTGCTGGGATTAAAGGTTAAAGGTGTGTGCCACTAACACCCAGTGATAGTGATGAACTCTTAGTCCTCTGGAACTATAGCCCAAATAAATTCTTTCTTCTGCAAGTTCTGTTGGTCATGGTATTTTAATCACAGAAAAGTAACTAATACAAGAGATAAGAAAAAGAGGGTTGATTATTTTCCATATGGATGGAATTTGATAGGGTAAGATAGGCATACCTCTGGAGTCTGTTGTGACCAAATTTCCAAGGACTGGGGACATTGATTAAGGCAGTATTTTCCTGAATGTTGAAAAAGTAACTTCATTGTGGTCATTTACTCTTGCTGGAAGGCTATGTAATAAATATATCATGTAGTATGGAATAATGTAATGCCATCTAAAATTGGGATCCTAAGGGCAACAAAATAAGTGAAATTGGTGGGAAAGAAGGATTAGTTTAGTGAGGTTTATTTCTGCAGAAACTTGGTAGTACCTCCTGTTTCTGTTTCCATTCCTTAGGTTATTATTCAGATACACTTCCAGGAAATAAATGTATACATTGCTCCTAGACAGATAAAGCAAGAGTGGCAAAACCCTCTGCATTTGTTGTATTTAGGTTGATTTCAGTGGCATACTTTGTGGTAGCGAATTCTGGGCCCCCCTTTCCCTAACTAGTATATCATACAATCCAGCTGCTCAGGTGGAGAATAAAGCTTCAGCTGTCATCAGTCAGTCTTAATGGTCAGGTTCTGACAGATCTTCAGTGGAGGGATGGCCTTAAGCAGGTGTTACTATTGTGGCCACAAAAGGGAAGAAAATGACATGAGATTCTAAGTGGAAGACTGTCTTGAGAATCAGAGACCCAGGGTAGGCTTCTGTCTTACATCAGGGACCACCAAGTCACTGTACTCTGACTCTCTTTCCTGATGTCCCATATGATTGCAAGACAGTTTTGGCTCAAACATGGCTGGTGACAAGGCAAGAACTCCAATGCATTCAGAGACTGGGCATCAGCCAAGTACCCCATTCACAGGGTTGAGGGATTGGTCTTCGGCCAGCATCTCTTGAGGCATGATGAAATCTGCAGCCCTGTGGTCAACTGTGCAATCAGCATTTGCTGATGGATCAAGGCAGTAGGTGGGGAGATGGGGAGGATCTCAGAAAATGGGAAGAATGTTGCAGTGAGCTGAGAAGGAAGCCTCTGCAGCAAACATGACCAAGTAAGTCCCTTCTAATGGAGCAATGATTAACATGTTGGTTAAAGCTTATGCAGTCCCTCAGAGGCAGCATCTGTGCCAGCTTTGCATCATGCAGCACCAGAGTTGTGGTCCTTCTTCAACTCAAAGTCTGTTGTTTCAGAGAGGGGACAAGAGCTAAGGGTACCAGACCTCTCTAAGAGAGGGATCTGTTTAGAATTTCCAGCTTACTGATTCCTCTATAAAGCCTTTCTTGGTACCCCTCATCTGACCTGGGTAGCCCTCCCTTACACTCATCTCTGGAGGTCTTCTTTACCATATTGCATCATGATGCTGCAGGTCAGTCTTATTTTTATATAATATCGGGAGGTTCTGAGAAGAGCCCTTAACATAAAGGTGCAGTTCCAGTGGTTGAATGGATAGTGAGTAAGTCTATGTCTAGATGAGCTGCCCCAAAGCCTTTTCTAGGCAGTCCATCTTCTCTCAGGCCTGGTGGACCTGCACTGACCTCAGAAACTGACCCCTTTCAGAGGGAAGAAGAAATGGCTGAACACACACAGGGATGGTTGGGGCGGTACATGGGGCTGACAGCTGCTTGACTGAATCATGAAAATGGCATCTCCGGTGGAAGAGGACTCCGATCACTGCACTCCACCCAGGGCTGGAATGAAAACCACAGCCTCCTTTCCAGGCCCCTGGAGGGAAGCCCCCATCTCCATCCAGGCAGAGGGGAAGCTGGAGTCTGGCACAGAGGGTTTCCTTGCCATGAGTCAGGTAGAGAAACAGCTTGTGTCTCAAGGAGAAAGTGGAATTTCAGAGTACACAAGGGTAAATATTGAATGTGAGATGCTGCTAATTAGCTGCACAAAGGCCGTTAGCATTAATGAGTTCCGTCCCTTTGCAGTGGGAAGCAACCATTTCTTTGGTCCAGGCTCACTGGCAGGGGCCCAGTGTTCTAGCTGTTGCTGTGAGTCTTTTGTGGCACTTGAATCTTAGAAAAAGCAAAAAATAATAATAACAACAACTAGGAATGCAATGAAGCCCCTTCCTTTTCAACATTTCCTGTAACACATATAGAAACTTCAGGTTGAAAATATACTAAAAATACATCATTTGTTTCCCATTAGCAAACTTAATTGTATCTCTCCTCCAGACTTTGGGCTCACAAAGTCTAGAAGAGAAAAAAAAAGGAGTAGGGTGGAGAAGAGTTGGTAACTTGGATTTTTTTCTTGCACACTTACAATATGCCAAGTATAGAGCCATGAGTATCCTTTTGTAAACTTCCAGTGATCTAGGCTGCATAGATGGCTCAATACTGAAGGGCACATACCATACTTCAAGAGGACCAGAGTTGGAGTTCTGATATATATATATATATATATATATATATATATATGAGACAGACAGACAGATAGACACAATGAAAAATAAACATAATAAAAACAGGAGGTCTATTCTATTACCTCCATTTGCCAGATGAGGGGAATTGGGGCTTAGAGGGGCTAAGTACTTGTCCTTGTTTCCTAGCTGATAAATGAGAGAGTCAGGATGCCTCAGCTGTGCCCAGGTCCAAAGCCATCCACATCTGTGGTGAGAATCTCGATGCTGAACACTTGGAAGGAAGCAGGGGTGATCATTACGAGTATTGCTGTCCCTTCCATAGTGGGAAAGGAGCATGGAATCAGCCAAGGATGTGTTCATTACTTATTAATACAGTTATTTCTTGGAAGTTTATTAATGTCTGTGATGAGCTGGGCTGGGACACAATAGATTGTGCTTGCTGCCATGGAGAGTGCCATTATGAATGGATGCAGATAGCGATAAGGAGTTTGATCAATAGCAAAGAATGGTACCTTATGACAGCATGAATTAGGGGTGTCTAAGTGTGTATGAGAGGGATGAGAAAATGGAAATATTATCTTCATACTTTGGAAAGCATTTTTAAACTGTGAGGAGTTGATGAGGCATTTTTAGAGCCTCATTGAGTCTAACCTAGGTTAAATAGAGTGGAAGGGTATTGCTCCTTGAGGGGTCCCCTGGACCAATCTTGTGGAGGTGAGCTACAGCAGGAGCATGAGGTGAGAGCCACATGCTGGTTTGTACAGATAGAGCATGGACTTGGAATAAACTGCATTGAGGAATAAAGCTGTGATCCAGCTTTATTCCTTTATTGAGGGCAAAGGTGGGTCACAAAGGGTGTGGTAGTTCAATTCACAAGGAATTGAACTTAGACAAATAGGGCCAAGATAGCCTTCTCTTCTCCCTTCTTTCTGTGTGAAGTTCCAGGGATTGAACCCAGGGCCTTATACATACCAGGCAAGTGTTCTACCACAGAGCCTCTGCCCCAGCCTTTTCTTTACTTTTTGTCTTGAGAGAAGATCTCACTAAGTTGCCCAGGCTAGCTTCAAATTAATTTTTTTAGTTCTGAAAGGCCTTGAACTTACAATCTGCCTGCCTCAGCTTCCTGGGTAACTGGGTTACTGGTCTTTGTCACTATCCCAGGCTCCATTTTAGTATTTCCAAGTACAGGCATGTTATGAGAGATGACAGATCTGGGCAGGGCAGGGGTAGAAGCTGATAAATTGATGATAGCTGAAGGCTGTTATGGTAACTTAGATGAGGTTGGTAGCGGCCTGAATGTGAGGATGGGGAGTGCTTTTGGTAAGTACTGAGTAGATACAATTGTCAAACCTAATTAGGTTGACTAAATACCAGGGGCTTAAAGGAAGATGTCAGGGTTAGCACTCAGGTGCCTGGCTTTGGAAATTCTCTGTGGGCAATGACTTGCTCTGGCTAACAGATGCTTGGGAGAGTAGATCCAATTGGGAAATGTAGAGGTTAAAACAGCTGTGGTCTACCCTGTTGGTGTGAGGAATAGAGCGTAGGAGAGCCACTTGGGGAATTCTGAGTTTGGTAACAGCTGAGACCCTTAGGACGTTCGTGGTGATATTTTGTTTAGGATCTAACAAATAAAGCTTGCCTGAAGATCAGAGTACAAAGCTAGCCACGGCCATAGAGGCCAGGCAGCAATGGTACACATCTTTAATTCCAGCTCTCACACTAGTTAGCCATAGAGGCCAGGCAATGGTGGTACACACCTTTAATCCCAGAACTCGGGAGACAGAGACAGATGGATCTCTGTGAGTTCAAGACCACCCTTGGCTACATGAGAGTGAATCTGTCTAAAAGAGAAACAGAGCTCACACCTTTAATCCCAGTACTAGGGAGGAGGAGACAGGAGTGATATGGCTGGGTGCAGAGAGGAATAAAAGGTAAGAGGTGACAGGAACTCATTGCAGTCTGAGGTTTGGTGGACAGCTGTGAGTTGGAGGAACAGTGAAGTCTGGAGATGAAATCTGAGGACAGGATGGTTCCTTTGGTCTGAGGTAGAGATAAGAGCTGACTGCTTTGCTTTTGATCTTCAGCTTTAACCCCAATATCTGTCTCTGAGGTTTTTTTTTTTTTTTTTTTTCCTTTGAGACGGGGTTTCTCTGTATTGCTTTGGAGGTTGTCCTGAAACTCACTCTGTAGACCAGGTTGGCCTTGAACTCACAGAGATCTGCCTGCCTCTGCCTCCTGAGTGCTGGGATTAAAGGCGTGAGCCACCAACGCCTGGCCTGTCTCTGAGTTTTTATTATTAAGACCAACTAGAATTCATGCTACATATGTTTGGGTCACTCTGAGTGGACATTAGTGGCCCCACCCCTTCACGTCTTCTCATCCTCTTGTCTAACGTGGCCTCCAGGGTGGCATCAAAGTCATTGGGTGCTAGCCTGGGCTCCTCATTTTGACTCATCCTGAGCCAGTGTTTTCAATCTATCTGTGCTACTAGAAGAAAGAAAACCTAAACTAGGTGATTTATATGGGGACTAGGGAGTTCAAGACCAAAGTGACAGCAGGTACAGACCCAGTCAGTGTCTACTTCTCAAGATGTCAGGCACCCTGGTACTTTAGAGGAAGAATACTGTGTCTTCACAGGGTAGAATGGGTAGAAGGAATTATTTCCACCTGCACTTTAGAAAGGATAAAAAAAAAAAAAATCCAAGCTACAGCAGCCTGGAATTTTCAGTTCCTCCGCTTCACAAGACTGATCCTCTTAGCATTATCTTGGAAGCATGAATCTAAGGCCAGAGCTCCCTCCTCACATCCTAGGCCTGGAAACTGCAGAGTGGCTGGGTCTGGCAGTGACGCTGGTGGAGAGTGTTATAGCCTAATTGTTGCCACCCTCTCTAAGCTGCATGCTCTTTCCCGTTCTATCCAGTTCTCTTATGGCTGGGTCCACACTGTGGCAGAAGCTGAGCACTTGAGTCACACTGCATAGGCTATGCTACTGATTAAAGAGAGGTAGGAACAGCCTGCAGTGTAACTTGTTCGTTTTTTTCCCTGATTCTCTCGTTCCACAAAATTCTATCAGTCTGATCACAAGTGACTCAGGATGCACTTCCCTCATCCCCTGCCCCATCATGGCTTTCTCAGTAAGACTCTACATAATGGTAAAACTGAATTTTGTTAAAATGAATCTTTGTTTCCTTTTTTATTCTTTTCAACAAAGTCTCCTTCAAACCCAGCTAGCTTTGGACTTGCTATGTAGCTGAGGGTGACCTTGAACTTCAGATCCTCCTGCCTCAACCTCCAGAATGCTGGGATCATAGGCATATGCCACCATGCCCTTGCTTGCTTGCTTACTTTTTGTTACAGTGGTGGAACTTGAACCTCAGGCTTTGTGCATGTGAGGTAAGCACTCTGACAACTGAGCTACAACCCCAGCTCTCCAGTCCCTGCCTTCGATGACAAATCTAGGATTCTATCCCAGGTCCATCTGGCCAGATAGGAAGAGAGGAGCCATAGAGGAATTATTAGAAATACCAAGGAAGTCGCTACAAAAACAGTGTCATGAGTTAAGTCTGAAGGTCAAGCTAAAAGCAGAAACAGAGAGACTGATAGCAAGATTAATATTTGGGAGAGCCAGGAGGAAGGCAGACCAAAATTAAGTGAAAATGTGCAGTGATGAACTGAGACCAACC